AGTTACTAGGCCTATACTTGCTCTCACATTGAATTACTAGGAAAAATGTTTTATTTCTTTTACTGTTATTATTGATGTTATTATTATAACTATTGCCATTAGTTTTATCGCAGTGTCATAAACACTAATGACAGTAATAAAACTGAAAGACTTGCCAAGAATTCAAGGACTTGGGTAAATAACTAAGGTCATGCAGACTGAGTCACAATTTTTTTTTGTGACTGAGCGCTTGTAGAACCTTCTGTGTGTAATAAAGTTAATAAAATAACCCATAGTGGACAGTGCAAGCATACCTGCACTCCCAACATTAATAGGTTAAAGTATTCTGTTGTACTGTAAACTTGAAAGAATACTCCATAGGATTTAAATGCAGTCATAAATTATATTACACCATTATATCAAATATGCAGTATCTGTGCTATAATCTTCAATGCCTCTTACAAGTTTATTTTTGTAAGTTTGTGTTTATTAATTTTTTTTCATTATTGATCTGTGTCATGAGACAGGTTCTAGTTACCATTAGCTCCTACAGGAAGCAACAGCTCTCCACGGCAGAGTGTGGTGCTCCCTATGGTAGGAGGTCTAGTACTTCAGCCAGCAAGGGTTGCTATTCCCAAGTTAGATCTTACATGGAGAAGAAGATTACAGGAAAGGTTAGAAGGTGAGAAATTTTATTTTTGTTGATTTTGAACCAGTTTATCTGTGTATTCTTAAAGAAAAGAGAAGTAGATTCTGTTCAGGTATGTGTATGATACATGGGTTTGTTTTAGTATTTTTGAATAATTAATCATAAAGAAATGTGCCAAAAACAGTGTGATTGATACTAAATTGTATAATTTTTTGTAGCACGCCAGGACCTGGACTTGAGCATCATTGGTGAACAGTCAATAAATCAGGAAGAAGAAGAGATCTCAAGCCAGAATGATACACAAGCTCAAATAATTTTGACCTTAACTTGTCAAGTAGAGTTGAAGAATCCGAAAATTCAGAACTTGAAAACCGTTCATATGATGATAGCATTGCTAGTCAGAACTTGTCAGTGGATGAAGTGCAAACTCCAGAAGAATCAGAAGGTTCACAAAGGAGGAGGAGACCAGCAGTGGTTTGTAGATAAAATTCTATATTTAATTCTTTACAATATATATGCAAGAAATTAACTTCATTACTTTTGCTACAACCAAAAAAACAACAAAAAAAAAAGACACAAGAACACACACATGCAAAGACAAACCTAAAGACACACAAAAACACACAGGCATGATGATAACACACACAAAAAAATATGCAGGCAAAAATATAAAAGTAGAGAGACACATGCATGAAACACACACATGCAAAAAAAGTATATACACAGAAACACATCAACAAAAAACACAAAACTTTGAACACATAATCACACTTACACAACCACACACAACCCACACCCATACCCAAATGCAGGTGCAAGTACACAAATATACAGAAGACATGCTGTATATTAGAGCTAATTTAATTTTTTCCAAGTCTTTGCCTTTTTACTGATTTTGTGTCTCCTGATCTTGTGTCTCCTTATTCACTTGACAGTTATTTGTTTTTAGCATAGATTTATAATAACAAAGAGGATTCAGTACCAGGAAATGTAAATGATAGTCAGATGTATGAGGTGAGAAATCATTGATACATTTTTTATAGATATATGTTTTATTACCAAGGTTATATTTTACAGAATAATACTCCAGAAAGTCCAAGAGGGAGTGGTAGAAGAGGTGGCAGAGGCCGAGGGAGAGGGAGAAGCGGAAACGCCTCAAATGCTCGAAGGAACTCTCCTGCTACCACCAAAGAAAAAAACAGATACCACATCCAGTACAGAAGTTCAGGTGAATATTTGGCATCCTTATAACTTAGTAAATGTACAAGTAAGAAACCTGTAATTTAATGGCAAAAAATATTTATGTGGCATGCTTAGGCTTGGAAATTTTGTTTCTTATGCAAAGGCATCTAATACAATAGCTTGTATTAGGTTGCTTGGAACAGAATTTAAAGGATGGAAATTGATTAGTCTTTATTCTCTCACTGCTACCTACTAATGGTCTATATGTTTATGAATCTAGTCAGCCATTTACTAATGGTCTATATCAGTGTTGTCCAAACATTATCGCCTATTGTATCCTTTATTACCTTCTTGTACTGTTATGTACCCCCCCCCCATCCACCATGGATAAACAAACTTTTAATTAGGATGATGCAAATAATATACAAATTATGAAAAAGACTGCATTGCAGGGGTGTTGGTCAATAAATTCGAATTTGATACACAAATAAAAACAAAATGCTTGAAAAATACTCAAATGTGAGGTGTGTGTGTTCCTTGTGTGTTATGTATCCCTATGATCTGTGTTGCTTACCCCAGGGGTATGCGGACCCCAGTTTGGATGACACTGGTCTATATGGTGTCAATCTAGTAGCCATTTACTTTTCTTTGGCTGAATATTAAACAACAGTCATAGAGAAACTTTGATTTTGCATCTTACTTGAAAAAAATGTACAACTCAATGGATCTGGTTAACATGTCCATCAATTCATGAAAAAAATTGGGTGAGGACTGGGTAGGGGGAACATGCTGTCATAGAAAATTTGGCTTAAGGCCAAGATAAGGGGAATTACTCACCACGGGTGGATAAAGTTCTCGGAAGATTAGACTCAGTGGGCATTTAGGAAGGGGCTATTGCATTATTTCCACTATTGTAAAGAAAATAACATTTTATAGTCATTCCTATTAACTAATGATTACCATGTTGTCTTTTTTTTGAGTGGAAGCTCTTCATGTAATTTCATGTAATGTGGTACAAATACTCCAGTTTAGAATATCATTGGAATTTTACCCAGTGGTTTGCATCTTGTTTTCCCTTTCACAAGTGTCTGCTCATTCTGTTAATAAAAAGGCCTAGGTCTTACAACTTAACCCTGCAGTGAGGGTACCAGAATTTTTTGAGCAGCGTTCATTCTGGTGACTATTGACAACCATCATGCCTTTCCAGCAGGGCATTCTCTGTGTACAGCTGGCTCTGCCTGCTCACTCACCAGAGTGAGTCATGATGCCTATTACCGTGTAGTGTAGGGTTTCCATGACATCTGTATCTGTGCCCATCAATCAGTCAGTCAATTAACCCTTGGATACGGAAATAACTATGCTGAAAACCCGGGCAATGGGTTACATAAGTGGCCAACATCCAAGGCGTGCATGAACACCCATGAGCAGTAACGAGACTATGTGCCTCCCCTTTCAAAGTTATTTTGTGTTATCTTTTATGGCTTTATTGGCATTTTCTAATGTCCACATATGTCTTTTGATTTGCTTTATCTAGAAGGTAATTGCTTATTTTCCTTGCACAGACTTCATATCATCTCTTGTGTAGTGAATAACTCAGTGCAAAAAAAAAAGGAACATTTGGGTATTTCTGCCCTACATCTCATTTTTGTTGTAATTTTTAATTCTACATAATACAACCTGCTCTGCTGGTCACAGCAGCCTGGAATATGGTGCACAGCATGGAAATGGCATCCTCCCTGGAGCTGGCACTCTTCTAGTCTCGGCTTACACACAATACATTCCACGTTCGTTTATTGATGGGAATAATGCTAAAGCCCCTTTCGAAGTGCTAAATGAGTCAAATCATACTCCAAGAGGTTTGTGCACTTGTGGTGAGTCTTTTCCATCACCCTGGCCTTCGCTCATAATGCCAAGTTCGCTTCACCCAGGCTGCTGTCAATTTGCCTGATTGATGGGATGTTCATGTCACCTGCACCTTGGCTCAAGTTTTTCCATGACGTTATCCGGGTCCATTGGGTTAATTAATCAATCAATTAATCAATCAATCATTCTCTGATCTCTCGACTGAATATTATCTTGGTGTTGAATTTCCAATTAGACTATGCCTTATAGACAGTTACACATCAAGACAAACCTAAATATTTTTTTCTGGGCAAGCTTTTTTAAACTGATTTGCACAGATATATGTGTTGACATTGTTTCATTTTGGGCCACTTGAATTTTTTTTTCTAATTCAGTACACTACACTACACTACACTTTACTATACTTCACTTCACCACTTTATTTCACTATACTTCACAACAGTACACTTCACAACAGTACACTTCACAACACTACACTACACTACACAAGACTTCACTTCACTACACAAGACTTCATTACGCTACACTACACTACACTACACTACACTACACTACACTACACTACACTACACTACACTACACTACACTACACTACACTACACTTTACTACACTACACTTCACTATGCTACACTACACTTCACTACACTACACTACACTACACTCACTTCACTTCACTTCACTTTACTTTACTTTACTACACTTCACTTCACTTCACTACACTACACTACACTACACTACACTACACTAACACTTACACTTTCACTTCACTATGCTACACGACACTTCACTACACTTCACTTCACTTCACTTCACTTCACTTCACTTCACTTCACTTCACTTCACTTCACTTTCACTTCACTTCACTTCACTTCACTTCACTTCACTTTCAACTTCACTTTTACTTTACTTTACTTTACTTTACTTTACTTTACTTTACTTTACTTCACTACACTTCACTTCACTTCACTTCACTTTACTTTACTTTACTTTACTTTACTTTACTTTACTTTACTTTACTTTACTTTACTTTACTTTACTTTACTTTACTTTACTTTACTTTACTTTACTTTACTTTACTTTACTTTACTTTACTACACTACACTACACTACACTACACTACACTACACTACACTACACTACACTCTTACCATGACCAAGACTATGGGTTCCTGAGCTGTAGAAAATGTGGCACAATCACTATGACAGCTACAAGTATTCTAATATGTCAAGTATTTATACCCTCAGAAATGGTTTAAATGCAGCATGTCATTTGTTCCAGACAGCAAATGCTGTATGTTGTGTTAATCCTTTACCACCTCATGTCACTCACATCCTGTTGTGCTGAGAATGGCCATCTCACAGGGGCATATATGTCATGCCATCATTATCTCAGCTCATCAGAGTTTATAGCCCTTTTCTCAAATTGACTTTGAATTATGGTAGCTTGATTCTTATGAGGGAATTTCAATTAGGAATTAGTGCTAAGGCCTCAATGTTTTATACACATCTGTGTCAAAGCCAGGCCAAATCAGTATGTTATTGGTACATATAAAATGTTTAAGCACATGTGCCAGTTGCCTGCATACTGCCACATTAATGTACATCCTAGAAATTTCCACTTTTTTGACATTTTAGCCAGCTTGTAGACATTAGATTGATATGTCTTAGTTTGTTTGTGCATATTCTAGAAAGTACAGGACCAAAGCCACTGTAGATTCATTACTTATTGTCCTGTCCTGTCTGATAGAAATGTCAAGTCACATAGAGAATAGAGATTTCGGTATATGATTCAAGAATCAGTTTTATGTGTTATAGGGTATAACCATTAAAGAACTTGAACTGGGATAGGAAACAGGATTGCCAAAGTTTTCAGTCTTACAAAAAATATCAACTGAAATCTTGATTATACAGTATGAACCATTTTGTGGTTTAAGATCACGTGTTTGCTCCTTTCAGGGAGATGATGTGTCAGATTGTCAGCTGGAAGTAACATCACATAGTCCAAGTCAACAGGAAGAGGATCCATTGGAAGGACCTAGCTGGTGGTACACTGATCTAGAAAATGCTCGTGGTTCCCGAGGCCGTGGGCATGGCAGACGCAGAGGGAGAGGTCGTCAGAGGAATTCTGCAAAACAATCTCCTTGCATTAATTTAGCACTGGAATCATCTAGTGAAAGTGAATGTGATGACTTGTCATCTCGTAAACCCAAGGTATTGGAGAAAAGCCCTGCTGGACCTCAAAGCCCACAGGCTAACAAAAAACCTAATTGTGCCTCGCTAGAAGTAAATAAGAGTCCGAGATTATCTTTAGACCATAGTTACCTTGCTTCACCTGCCAGCATGTTGGCCAGATTGGAAAACTTAGAAGCTAAAGCAGGACGTCGATCAAAAGCTCGATCAAGAGGCATGTCACTTCGGGGTAGCTCAGAAGAAGGAGGTAGGCCAAGTGAGGTTGGGACTGAAGGTGGGCGAAGGCTCACTCGGCAAAGAACAGAAATAAAGAGAAATAGTGTAGAAGCAGATTCTATCAAAAATGAGGAAGACTCTTTCAATCTAAAGTTAGAGGAAACCTTGCTGGAAGTTGGGGATATCAAAATGGGAAGTCAAGAAAGTGATTCAGTCCTAATGCCCCCACCTAGAATGCCATTACCTGTAGTTGACAAAGACTTTCTTATCACTGATAATGACTTAACATGCATTGGTGATATTAGTATGGATATGACTGAACCATTATCAAAAATAATAGGCCAGGCAGCAGTAGATATACACAAAGAAGATACAAAAATTGAGAGAAGATTTTTCAAAACACAAACTCCAGATTTAACTGGATCACCAAAAACAGAAGCTACAGAGAAGACCCCATTTGATCTTTCTTTAATGGATGCCACTGTAGTGAATATTCCTCCGTATTCTTCGCAAAGGTCACTGGAGAAAGAAAATTTACCTCCTCATTTTGATGGTGAAAATAGTAGAGTAGAAAAAACTGAGTCTGTAAACTTGAGGAGAGTGTCAGTAGTTCTAGAAGATGTTATGAAATGTCCAGATTTGCCAGATAAATACACACCAGAACTGAAGCTTAGTCTAAGTGCACAGACAGTAAAATCAGGTGGGAACTCCTCAGGGAAAAGTAAAGATACACTTCCCAAAGCTTCGAAAGCAGAAAGTCCATTGCTTAAGAAGCCCAAGAAAAGAAAGACGTTAAGATTTTCTGTTGCACATGAAGATGATGATGAAGATGAGGATGAAAATTTCTCCCCGAAGAAAGGAAGAAGAAGCCAAAGGGGAAGAAGAAAAAGCAGTTCAGTTGGAATGACACGAGCAAGAAGGTCTACTCTCAGCAGAAGGACATCCAGTGTTGACAGTGGTGCTGCTGGGCCTGCAAGAAAGCAGCGTAGAAGAAAAAAAGACTCAGAGGATGCCAACACACCACAAAACACTCCAGAAACTAGTATGATTAGTGATTTAGAGGAGGACTCTAATACAGTGCCATCTAAGACCAGCTCAGAGGAGGAGGGTATGACAAAGATAACACTTCCTGTGCAGAATGATATTTCAAATAATAAGAATATCAACTTGAATGACTGTTATGTGATGGTACACAGAACCCCAGAAATAATTGTCCAACAGTCTGCTGTAAGATCTGAAGACTCTCTTGTGTTAGAACTAGACTGTACAGCTGATTTAAACTCCCCGGCTGTGATGTCACCTGCAAAGTCCCCAACGCTGACGCCTCCTGTGAAGATAGGGAAGATGGATAATTTGAGCAAACAAATGGAGCTGGTCATGAAAAAAGCACAGCAAATGAAAATGGATCAAGGTAGGGTGTTGTACTTCTTTGTCTTATTTATAGGTATTTAGTAGGATGTAACAAAAAATAGAAAATCCTTTACTTTCATTAAAACTTGGGTTTCAGTTGGATTGGCTTTTGTTAGTACTCATGACCAGAGGCATAGGGTAATGTGTTGGAATATACCATAAATACAAATTAATGTTCTTGGTCATATTGCTGTCTTTTTCATAATCAGAAAGAAATTGTGTGGTAATCTTCAATACCAAAAGACCACAATTTCTTGGTCTCATCTTTCTGGTCAGGGGAGGGGATGGGGGTTGAAGGATGGAGGGAGAGGGGAGAAGGGAGAGAGAGGGGTAAGGAGAGGAGGGAGAGAGAGGGGTAGATGGATAGAGGGAGAGGCAGGGGTAGAGGGATAGAGGGAGAGAGAGAGGTGGAGGGATAGAGGGAGAGAGAGGGGTAGATGGATAGAGGGAGAGAGGGGTAAAGAGGTAGAGGCAGAGAGAGGGGTAGAGGAGAGAGAGGGTAAAGAGGTAGAAATAGAGCGAGAAAGAGGGGTAGAGGCAGAGAGGGAGAGAGACGGGTAGAGAGAGAGAAGGAGAGAGAGGAGTAGAGGGATTGAGGGAGAGAGAGGTGTAAAGAGGTAAAGGGAGAGAGAGGGTAGAGGGGAAGAGGGAGAGATAGGGGTAGAGGGGAAGAGGGAGAGAAAGGGTAGAGGGGAGTTGGAGAGTGAGGGTTAAAGGGGTAGAGGGAGAGAGAAGGGTAGGTGTGTAGAGGGAGGGAGAAGGGTAGAGGGAGGGAGAGGAGGAGAGAGGGGTAGAGGAAGAGCAGGGTAGAGGGAAGAGCAGGGTAGAGGGGAAGAGCAGGGTAGAGCGGAAGAGAGGGTAGAGGGGTTAGAGAGGGAGAGAGAAAGAGAGAAAGAGAGGAAGAGAGGGTAGGGGTGATAATGGAGGGAGAGGGGAGGGGTGATAATGGAGGGAGAGGAGTAGAGGTGATAATGGAGTGAGAGGAGTAGAGTGATAATGGAGGGAGAGGAGTAGAGGGAGAGAGGGAGAGAGGAAGAGAGGAAGAGAGGGAGAGAGGGAGAGAGGGAGAGAGGGAGAGAGGGAGAGAGGGGGATAGAGGGTTAGAGGGGGATAGAGGGATAGAGGGATAGAGGGGTAGAGTGATAGAGGGGTAGAGGGATAGAGGGATGGGAGTTGAGAGGGGGAGAGGAGTTGTGAGAAAGAGAGAGGTTCACAGACAGACAGACGGAGACAGACAGACGGAGACAGACAGACGGAGACAGACAGATGGACATAGACGGACGGAGGCAGACGGACGGAGGCAGACGGACGGAGGCAGACGGACGGAGGCAGACGGACGGAGGCAGACGGACGGAGGCAGACGGACGGAGGCAGACGGACGGAGGCAGACGGACGGAGGCAGACGGACGGAGGCAGACGGACGGAGGCAGACGGACGGAGGCAGACGGACGGAGGCAGACAGACGGAGACAGGCAGGCAGGCAGGCAGACAGACGGAGACAGGCAGGCAGGCAGGCAGACAGACGGACAGACAGACAGACAGACAGACAGACAGACAGACAGACAGACAGACAGACAGACAGACAGACAGACAGACAGACAGACAGACAGACAGACAGAGAAAGACTGAGATTAAGAGAGAGACTAAGATTAAGAGACAGACTAAGATTAAGAGACAGACTAAGAATGAGAATGAGAGTGAGATTGTGAGTGAGTTTGAGTGTGTGAATGAGAGTGAGAGAATAAGGGAGTGTTTTTATGTTTATTTGTCTTCTTGCACAGCGTGATTTGATATGGTCCAGTAATGAACTACAGCACATTTTAGAATTAATGAATTACGTGTATGCATGTTTATGTCTATCTCTGCCTCTGACTCTGTCTTTCTTTCTTTATGAGAGAGATTGTAATTAAGATAAAAATATTGTCAGATACTGCAGGCTTGGAAGAGATTTTGGATCCTTGTGAGGGGCCTAAAGAAACCATGTCTGAGGCAAGTGGAGGAACTGAGAATGATGAACAGAAAAGTCCAGTTGGAAGTCCTAGAGATGTAAAACAGGATGATGTGGAGAAAAAACACACATTAAACTGTGAAGATCCAGATGAAAAAGAATTAGTTGACCTCAAGCAGGATGTAGAGGAGCCAAGGAGGAAGAGAGGAGCTGCTATGAAAATTACGTCTTTCAAGGAACTTAGCCTGAATTCGTAAGTAATTCAAAATTATTACTTTTTAAAAACTAAATGAAGGACCTATTTGAAAATGACAGAAAATATTAGTTGTTTTGTAATTATTCTTTACTTAGACATGGGCAGTATTTTTATTTTTGTATTTTGTTAGGAAAGAATAAAAAGTAAATCAGTATGGAAATGAAATGTTTAGCAGATGTAATTAGCATTTAATGTGTATCTTTATTTTTCAGGAAAATGCGAAGGCTGACATCAAACACTGTTGTTATTAATGATGCCAAACCCAAAGCCAAAGGAAGACAGAGTAGCAGGTCTTCCACATCTTAGAGATGCGAACAATCTTAAGGTTGTGTATTTTTATTATACCTTATTCTGAGAAGTCAATATACTACAAGAAATAACAAGAAAAAGGTTAGAAATTAAAACTGTCAGGAAAGTGAATATGTAGATTTCATGCTCTAGATATTTTACATATGATGAATAGACTAAAAATAAATACATATTTAGGAATATATATTTCAGATAGTATCATGAAGCATATTTTTCAAATAGTTCTACTAATGATGTGATCAACATATAATCACTGTTATGTGTATAAACCTTAAATACTAGCTGTTCATGCCCTGCAATTAATGGGCAACTAACTCATAAATAGATTATTTTGTAAATAAAAGTATTTATGAACTTGGGTGTGCCCAATTTGGCTACTAGATTACTTTACTACTGCACTTTACTAATAGAAAACACTTCCTTGATTTTCATAATTTTCATCTGATTGAGGCACAGCATAATGTACTGTCTTGTACTTGGAATTGTGAGTTTAGCAATGTTGTGGATGCATTTGATAATTTTTTAAATATTTACTCCAAACATGTTGATATCATAACTAGGTCTTCCCAGAACTTTTTTTGTTTTATTTTAAATACGATGAAGTGCTAATTTTCCTGTTTGGAAGGGGTTGCTCATTTCTTATGGAGAGGAATTGGTGAGCATCTGTTGAATTAATTGTTTAAGGCAACAGATTCATTCTTGCTATTTTATCTTATAACTTTCTTTAATACCATGATTAAAAGGTTCCTTTTTATAAGAAAGGATAAGGCTGATTTTTCTGAAGTTAAATGATATAAGTTTCTTTGAAGTGTATGTAATGTTTATGACATTAAATCTTTAAAGTCTCCTAGCTTTGTCAGCTGTCATATTTTTTTATTCTTATATTATTATTGATGATTCTCCACAAAATGTGTTGTTGTTGTTATTATTATTATTATTATTGTTATTATTATTATTATTATTATTATTATTATTATTATTATTATTATTATTATTATTATTATTATTATTATTATTATTAATATTGTTATTATTATTATTATTAATATTTTTATTTATTTTTTTTTTTTAAATTATCATTTTATTATTATTATTATTATTTATTTATTATTATTTTTTTCTTTCTTTCTTTCTTTATTTATTATTTTTTATTTATTTATTTATTTATTTATTTGTTTGTTTTATTTTATTTTTTTATTATTTTTATTTATTTATTTATCTTTTTAATTATTATATATATATATTTTTTTATAAAATTGTTATTAATACATTTTCTCTATTAATAATTCCTATTAATTTCTCAAAAAGTTTCCTAAGAATTAGCTTTTTTACATGATTATTGCTTGGCAGATTAGCATCATTGCAGGGTTTAGCATAACTAATTGTTAACCGAATCAGGGGACTGTTGTTTGTTAATATGTGCTTCATTCATTTTAAGAATTATATTTCATATTATAAACAATTAGTTTTATAAATCTTTTTAGAAGTATTTAGTATGGATTAAGTGTTTTAAAGAGAAATGATATGTCGGTTTGATACCAGCAGCTAAGAATTACCATCATTGTAGACAGATAATTTTCTGTAATGTGAGTCCTTGTTTTTACAGAATAAAAATTTCCTGATGCTTCTACTTCACACAGAAAATAAAAAATATAAGTAAAGATTTAGGAAACAAAGATGTTTTTCATAAAACTTGGATAATTATGTTTAATAAAAGAGCCAATACACAATACAGGCTGCAGCAGTTTTATGGGTTACAAATGTTTTTAGAAATAGATTATGATTTATAATTGTATTGCACAATAATGAATAATTTGTTCCTTTGTAGAATATTAGGAGAGGTACTCTTATATTGGAATTACAAAAAAGGAAAGTAGGAGCATGTGCTTAGTTTACTTTTGGTATTCAGTTAGAGATTTTTCAGATAAGGATTATTACCATGATGCTTGTCTCATGAATTATGTTCTCTTGTAAGTGAAATGATCATATAAAAAGGAATCTTAGTTAATGCTATCATTTTTCATGGAGAGAAAACTATTTTTGTGAAGTGAGAAGAATCTTGATTATGTTTGTGGTGGTAATCATAGACAGATGGCATGTGTTGAATGTTTTTTGGTAATTATGTACCTTTAACATTGATATTGATTTTTTTTGTCTTCACTTCTACATTTGATTGCTGTTTTCACATCTACATTAGGTTATCCATGCACTTGCAAAGTTCTGTTTGTTTGATTTATGGAATATTTTTTTTTTCTTTCAGTGATTTGTGTTGGCTTAAAAATGGAGAGATTTGTAGTTCCACAACTATTTGTATGTAATGTGGAATTGCATTTTTTTTATGCGTGTAAAAAGATGCTCATTAGGAGGAGCATGAGGTATGCAAAGTATGTAAGAATATGTAAATTTGTGGAAATGTACCTTAAAAGTATGATTTTTTTTCTGAGAAATAAAAACAGGAGAAATCCAAGTGAAAAAGAAATGAAGATAACAAATAACAGATATTGATGTGGAAAGAAATATACTGACATTTTTTGTGGTGTTTGTAAAAAAAAAAAATTAATAAAGGAACATTATTTGACTCTCATAAAGCAAGTTATAGATACCCAGAAATGAAGTATAACTTTTTAGTGTGTTCTTCATAAACAAAAATCTTGTCAGTTTGAATGTATTCTGCAAACTCATAGTTTAACCAGATGTAACAAGAATGGATTTAAGTTTGGAAGCATTTGTCTTTGATTGTATGTTGCAAATATGTGAGAAGCAAAAAAACTGTGTTAATGATCAGAACTGTTATATTCTTTTAATTTAAGACTATTGCACTACCGTTTAGAAATATCTTAATTATAATATTTGCTTGGTTAAAGAGAAGCAGAACCTCATAACTGGAAAAAGATCTGATAGTATGCAAAGGATGATCATGGTCAATTACAAAAGAAAAACGTGAGCACCGTTAGCTACACACCAGTGTTTCCATCAGTTGTCATGTGTGCAAAATGAATCCTACAGAATAACAACTAGTTTTCAAAATACATATTTTTTGCATACAGGAATATATTGGAGTGGTTATATATTCTCAAAAATTATCCAACCTACCAGGTCTTGTCAAAATGCCTTGCTTATCTTAAAAGTTGTACTCAGTGTTGTAGAATTCTAATTATGTGGTATTGGACAAGAAAGATTCTTTCGATGTATTTTGCTTCATTTGGTAAGATAGTCCAGATTTTAATTGTACAAAAGGGTTGTTCAGAAATGACGCCTTGCCATGTATAGTGTATAATTTGTTATTATGAAGTGCTGCTCTCAACAAGAACTTAGTTGTAAGGTTAAATGGGAGTACTATAGATACTCAAGAAGTTTTATCAAGAATTGTTTTTGGAATATGGAAGAGTTGGGCGGCATTTGTTCCATACAGAAAAATAGTAAAGTTGTGAACTGGAGAATTAGAAAATTAGAGGATTGATGGAGGAAATTGAATAAAATTGAAAGAAATATTTTTTAAGGAGTATGTACAACTTTAAAAGCATATAGTCAATATTTTTTTTTTCTAGTATCACTGCATATTTATTGTATTGCATGTCAGTTCAGTAAATGTTTGGGATATCAATGAACTTAGCTTTAAGTTTGAAAATTAAAACCAAAATAAACTTTATTTTCAAAAAAAAATGTTTTGATGCATTTAAAAGATCTTTATTTTTTACTTATATTTTTTACTTTATGTTCAATTTCTTGTCTTCAACATCTGGCAAATAAACATCTCTGTCTTATTATAGCCTTCTTTCACTCTCCTTTATAATTTTGTAGTTTAATGAGTTCTATATGTACATATATAAATGAATATATAATATAAATAAATTGTATATATATATATATATAATAAATAATATATTTATATTTATATTTATATTTATATTATATTCGTAAGCGTAAGCGTAAGCAAAAGCGTAAGCAAAAGCGTAAGCAAAAGCGTAAGCAAAAGCGTAAGCAAAAGCGTAAGCAAAAGCGTAAGCAAAAGCGTAAGCAAAAGCGTAAGCAAAAGCGTAAGCAAAAGCGTAAGCAAAAGCGTAAGCAAAAGCGTAAGCAAAAGCGTAAGCAAAAGCGTAAGCAAAAAGCGAAGCAAAAGCGTAAGCAAAAGCGTAAGCAAAAGCGTAAGCAAAAGCGTAAGCAAAGCGCAAGCAAAAAGCGTAAGCAAAAGCGTAAGCAAAAGCGTAAGCAAAAGCAAAGCAAAAGCAAAAGCAAAAGCAAAAGCAAAAGCAAAAGCGTAAGCAAAAGCGTAAGCAAAAGCGTAAGCAAAAGCAAAAGCAAAAGCAAAAGCAAAAGCAAAAGCAAAAGCAAAAGCAATGTATATATAATGTATAATATATAAATATGTATATAATATATAATATATAATATATAATATATAATATATAAATATGTATATATATATATATGAATATATAAAATATAAATATATATATATTTTATATATATATATTATATATATATTGTATATATATATTATATATGTATATATATGTATATATATGTATATATATGTTATATATGTAATATATGTATATTATTATATATTATATATATATATATAATGTATATATATGTATATATGTATATATATGTTATATAATAAATATATATATATATAATATAATATATATAATATATATGTATATATATATATTATATATATATATATGTATTTATATTATATATATATATATATATATAATATGTATATATTAATATATATATATATAATATATTTATATATATATTATATAATTGTATATATATATGTATATATATATAGTATAAATATATATATATATATATATATATATATTATATGTATACTATATATGTATATATATGTATATATATATTATGTATGTATATATATCATAATATATATATATATATATGTATATATATACATATGTATATATATATCATATATATATACATATATATATATATATATATATATATATATATATATA